ACGGGCCCAAACCAAACCCTAGATTCAAAGCCCTTAAAATTCTGGCTTATGCCCGTGTCTGAATAGAAACTGGATGATAGGCAGCTGCTCCCTCCCTCTCAAGTTTGACCCTCTTAGTTTGACATCCACCTACCTGTTGGTAGTAGATATAGGCCAGGATTCCAGCAATGATCTCAAGCAGGAAAATGCACAGGAGCAATATGAAGTACTGCAAAACAATGGTAAAAATTGTGTTGGTTAAAAGAGCTCACCAGGAAGGATGGGAGAGAAGTTAAATGTTATCAGGAAAAAGTCTTAACTCCATTAGTATTACTGTTTGTATTACAGCAGCTTTCAAAGGATTTGATCAGTATTAGGGGTTCATTGTATGGGAATAGGTGAGAATGTACTTTGAGACAGGCAGCAACAAGAGAGCTCATCAAAGAAGTGGTAGGTAGAAGAGGAAGGAAAAATACTATGGTAAGGGTATCTAGTAAAGGGAAAGACAAAAATTACAGCTGAACTGGAGGAGAGATGCTCCTATTTACCCTTTTTCTTCTACAAGTACTAGGGAGTATCCAATGAAATTGAAAATGAGGTAACATTTATTGATGTAAAGATTTCTCGTTTTACATGGTGCATGCTTAGCATGAGGAACTTCACCGACACAATATATCACGAAGGCAAGAGTTTAGCATGATTCCAAAAGAGACAGAACACGGATTTGGACAAGAACAGCCACAGCTGAACTAGCTCGGATGAAGAAAACATCTAAGGTGAGGTCTATGCTACAGCAGAAGTCAAATTAAGATATGCAATTCCAGCTATGTTAATTATGTAGCTGGAGTTGACGTACCTTAAATTGAGTTTCCGTGCTGTCCACACAGTGGCAAGTCGATGGGAGCAAATACTCCCATCAGTTTCCCTTACTTCTTGTGAGCAGCAGAAGTACCGGCACTGATGGGAGCACCCTCCAAGTTCGATTTAGCAGGTCTTCACTAGACTGTGGTAGTGTTGCTCTTCCATGTAATGTAGGGCGAGCGCTTAGAGAACTAATTTTTCATGTGATAACTCAATGGGGTTAGGAGGAAACTACTGCTCTGGGCAAATAAATCCAGAACAGTCTATTGTCACAGGGCTTTTGCATCATTCTCAGCAGGCCGCATCTATACTTACCGTGCCGCAGATCGATCTTCTGACATTCAATTTAGCCCATCTAGTAAAGACCTACCCCACTGTGAAGACGGCACCAAGCTCAGGTTAAAGTACGTTGACTCCAGCTGCACTATTTACATAGCTGGTGTTGCATGCCATAAGCTGTTCTTCCAGGTCTAATATAGACCTGACGTGAAGCAGTTGATACAGCCCACTATCAAGCTATGTCCATACTATAGACCTTATAGTGGCACAGCTATACCATGGCAGGTGTGCCAGGGCAAGGTCTCCCCACATAGCCACTCTCTGCTGGTGGGACAGAGCGCTCTCCCATCAGAATAACAACATCACCCTCAATGAGCAGCTGTACCTCTCCCACCGACAAGTGCTGTCCCCACCAGCACTACTGTGGGTGAAACTTGTCAGTTGGGGTGTGTTGTTTCACACCCCAACCTACAAGAGTTTTCCAAAAGCCTTAGAGACAAGATTTGGGACCAGACTGACTCGGAGTCACATCTGGAATGGGTGTTTCTATGACCAGTCGGGTATAACTGTAATTAAATACAGCTAACTAGATTCTATAGATACAGCAGCTCAGTTGCTGATGCCACCCACCCCAAAATACAGCTGCACCAGTTGCTCTGTAGAAACTCAACACTAGCCTGTTAAGTAGGAGAGGAACATCGGACTGTGCCAGGTGATCAGAGGCCCAGAATAACCAGGCATCCATGGGGAGTGCTCTTGGAATGGAGCAGAAGCCAAGGAGGAAGCTGCTGCACAGAGAACAACGGCAGAGACTTGGTACTCAATGGACAGCCAGTTATTAAAAGGTGGAAACAATGCAAGTAGGGGGCACCATTTGGCAACTGCAGAGCTCCCTGCTTTGGGGTGGGAAATGCTCTGCTTTGGGGACCTTCACGAAGAACACAGCGTGCAATATCTGCACCCGAGTTCTGAATTGAAATATGCTTGTTACTCAGAGTGAATTCTGCCCTGTGTGCCACAACAGTCATGGTTAGACCCTGATAACGAAGCTTAAACTTAAGCAGTGCATACACCATAGTAGTACGTAAGCCCCAGAAGTGAGTTTCACCCACAGTTAACCATGGAGGGTTGACCTCCATCCTCAGTGTAGCTTTGTGAAATACAGGAAGCATGAACTGAACCGGGTGTCTCTTACAACCCTCGTGTCTTTTTAAAGTTTCAAAAAGTGTTCTTACTGCAATTTGAATGTTGGTGAAGGAATCACACAGACATCTCTGGAGACCAACTTGTGCTCTCTTGCTAAAGCGCCCGAGGCTGTAGGATCCTGCCATCATAGTCCAAATTCTCTGAGAAAACAGGGCAGCATCCAGCCACCCTGCCCTCGTTTAATCTACTGTCCTGAATGTCACACTGCCATGGCGATGGTCACCTAAGTGGCTACGGCCAGGCCATTCTACAGTTCCATCATTAAGAGAAGAAAAGGGCCCAAGTTTGGGCTCATCCCGTAATACTCAGTATCATCACAGCACAGGCCCTGCACAGCACTCAGGACTGCTGCCTTCCCCACACACTGCCCTACCAGAGAGCCTTGCACGAAGCTGGAGAGGCACCCCTAGAGGCCGGCGAGGCTCCATGTTCATTCTAAGTGTGGCCCTTCCGCTAAGGTTGTCAGGTAGCGTCACTTCTGGTGGGGTATGTCTACACTACCCCGCTAATTCAAACTAGCGGGGGTAATGTAATCCGCAATTGCAAATGAAGCCCGGGATTTGAATTTCCCGGGCTTCATTTGCATGAAGCTGGCTGGCGCCATTTTTAAATGCCGGCTATTTCGAACCCCGTGCCGCGCGGCTACACACGGCACGGAGTAGCTAGTTCAGATTAGGCTTCCACGAGGAGTATAGCTAGTTTGGATTAGAAGCCTAATCCAAACTAGCTACTCCGTGCCGCGTGTAGCCGCGCGGCACGGGGTTCGAACTAGCCGGCATTTAAAAATGGCGCCGGCCGGCTTCATGCAAATGAAGCCCGGGAAATTAAAATCCCGGGCTTCATTTGCAACTGCGGATGACTAAATTACCCCTGCTAGTTCGAACTAGCGGGGTAGTGTAGACATACCCTCGGTGATTTACTCCACGAGGTACCAGAGACACTGCCCCATGGGCACACGAAGAAGTCATGATGGGATTTTTGCCCCCTCCCTGATAGCTGTTCTCCTTGCAGCCTTGTGCTGTTCTGCGCAGGGAACACACTCATGATTGGTTTTGATAACTAGCTGTACCAGATAGGACTTTACACAGATTCCCTAGTGCTATCAAGCCTCTGCAATCCCCCCAAAGAGTCAAGCACCTTTGCCAATGCACGGTCTCTCTGCTTTGTGGGACACCCCCGAAATCCCAGTCATTAGGTCCCAAGACAGCTCTGCCCCCACTGCCCCACCTTCCTGAATGACATCGCATTCTCACACTCCTGGGCCCATGAAAGGAACAACATACCCCTGCAAAAATTCATGGTTAGCATGAAATAAATGCATTTAGGTATTGCCAAAAAACAGAACTGGAAGCCATCAATTTACCCTTGCATCACAGCTTGTCTTTTGCTGTGAGACACCTTCATTTCTCACTGACCTCCCCCTTGTGGTTTGAAGACACAGGCAATCAAAAACCTCATGCCCACGTGAGATTATGCCAATGCATAATCCTTATCTAGTGGGTCAAATTTCCTCTTTCACCCTCTGCGGGGCTTCAGCAGCTGCACGGGAGCGACAACTGGGCTTTTTCAGCAGGCTGGGTTGTACTAGAGTATACAATCTCAGGCATTCACTCCCTCCCCAAACTCCCCCCACTGGCTCGGAGTTGAACATTGCAAGTGTCTGCACATGCTTGTACAAGGTACCCATTCATACCGTGGGAATGAGTCACCCGATGGAGTTCTGGATAACCAAATGCTGGGCGCCGCACTAAGCGGAGGGTGAAAGGGGCAGAAAAGGAGAGGAACCCTCCTAAACAAAGGGTTTCTTTATTTTGTTGCAGCCCAGTTATGTAATCTCTCTCTGACATCATAGTGCTGTCAGGCTGCTGCATTAGGGGATAGAAAACAACCAATTAGCTGGAAAGTTTCTCTTTCCTTTATCTGTTTTCTAAATAGGGAGTGTTTTCTGCACCGATGTCAAAGGCATTCCAGTGGAGCTGGCATGTATCACAAGGCCTCAGCTCACCAAATTATCTCCCACCTTTAGCAAACAGGTTTTATCAGAGCCTATATATAGTGAAGGTTACTACAGCTACTACTCTGCACTCAGCTAGCCTCTGCTAAAGCTTCTTGCTATTGTCAGCCCTGCCTGGTTGTTTCATTTAACTGTTACAACTTTTAAATCAGAAGTGAAAGTAAGGTGGTGCACCCCAGTGTGCTGCTCCAGTAAGCACCAGCTGTGTAAAGGGGCTGGCTGGGGGTGCGCTGTAGGGGTTAGTGAGAGGGACTGGTGGCAGTAGCTGCCCCTATCTGACTGTCGTGGTTTGTCCCTAGCTGTCATGCTCCTGGGCAGACCTAGTGACTGCCGCGGCAGCCCAGCGGTGGTGGCCCGGCTCCATATCCAGCCACAGCTTCTGCCCCACAGATCCAGCCCTGGCTCCAGCAGCCCCCACCTGGCCACAGCGGCCTGGCCCTGGCCCTAATCCTGGGGCAGGCCCTGCGGTCCAGCCCCACCTAGCTGCAAGAAGAGCTGGCAGCAACCCTTCTACTAGGGCCTATGGCCATACTGGACCAAACGCCCCCTATCTCAGCAGGTAAATCGTCCCGGGCCTGGCTAGTACTTGGATGGGTGACCCCCTGGGAATCCCAGGTGCCGAAAGCAGCTTTTTCTCTGCTCGATGTCCTCATCCGGTTCCCTTGTTTTGAACCTACGACCTGCACCCCTTGGCCTTGTTCTTCATTATTTGTCCACCACAATTAGTTGGACCCTGGGTCTAGTCGTCCCTCCTGCAAGGCTGGGGGAGGGACCTCGTGCCTGCCCACCCCTCCCATAGTTTCCAAATAGCACCACTCTTCTGCTATGGCTGGGGTTGGAGGGGAGGCCACGATCTGGCTGCGGTGATCCTGGCCCAGCCTCTCATCCAACCACTTTCATCCAGATACAGCAGCCTAACCCTGATCGGGTAAGATAACGCACCCCCAGTCTCCTGCCCTACCTCCTGGACCCCACCACACACCCAAAATCCCCAGCCCTGAGCCCCTCATACACCCTAACCCTGACTTTTGCACCGCCACATCCACAATCCCCTGCCCTAACTCCTGCACCCCTCACACTCCCCAACCCTCTGCTTAAATTTAAATTTAAATTTCTTACAGGTCTTGTTGTAGAGCAGCACCCCACTGCCCACTATAAGCCACTCCCAAGTGAGGTGGGTTGTGACAGGACAGTACCTGTAAGAAATGTAAGTTACCTCGGGTTTAGATTATGCTCTTTGGGGCTGGACATGTCTCAGTCTGCACGTAGGGCAGAGCTGTCCTTACCCATACGCAGAATATTTAGCTGCATAAGGCACCCAAAAATCTGGGGCACCACTGGGTCATAATGTCCATCCACTTGCCTCTATGGAAATGGGGGAGGAGGGGCGCAGACTCCTGCTACCAGCAATGTCCCTCCAACCCTGCTAGTCCCCCGCTGGCTGCTGGCCAGCCTTTCAGGGGTCTGTGCCATCCCTCTTCCCCCTCTACACACACACCAGCAGCATCACAGTGGGGAAAATGCAGCAAGGTGGCTCTAGCTTGCGCTGCTCTCGGGCTGGGATGCTCCAGGGCAGGGCCCCCCATGCCCACAGGAAGCAGCGCAGTGCAGCTGTAGAGCAGTGTGAGCTCAGGCCACCTTGCTGCATTTTCCCTCGCCGCAGCTGGTGAGTGCAAAAGGGGTGCAGACCCCTGCTGCCAGTACTGACCCTCCAGCCTCACTAGTCTCCCCAACGGCCGACCCATCTCACCTCGTGTCCCCCATGCATCACCCCTGCTGAAGATTATAAAATCACATCTCTAAAAAAACCATCATTCCCCCAGCCTGGACTGCCGTTGGTCACAGTGGCACCAGTTCAACAGTACCGAGTAGGGCTCCAGAAGTCTTAAGGACAGCTTGATGTGCAGCACCAAGTACAATGGGGCCTCAGCCTAGCTGTAGGCTGTGGATACAGCTGTTAACTAAATAGCCGCAAAATACTTTCACCGAATTCTCTGTCCCAAGGGAGTCAAATATTTGAGAGAGGTGTTATGACTGTGGGAATAACAAGGGCTGCCTTTCATTTTCTACCGTGACAGGCTCCTGCTTTTCTCATGTGCACTCTGTTGGTCTCCACATGATTGGAAGACCGATCACCTTCTAATGAGCTATGTACTCCAATAGCAGTATTTACATTACGTTCCTAAGTCTCCACTACATTTCCCCTGCTTTATGCTATTCCAGACACATAAAGCATGATGAAAGCTGGCAAAGGGGGAATCCTAGGTGGGAACCTTACAGCATGTCAAGCTTTGCAGTCCATAGGGACATCTCAGGATGTGTGGGGTTAGCAAGGGCCTGACGTGAACATTCCTGTGTCCTGGTTGTTCTTGTATATTGCAATGGTCTGAACTCCATTTAGAATAGGTCTTGGGGTTGCTCTACCCTATGCTAGGGACCAGAGGACTCCCTGGCCCACTGCACCATCTGGGGGACTGAAACACAGAGACAGGGTGAACCATCACAAGCCAGACTTTGTGCCATCACAATGGGCCCTGCTCCTATTGCTCTTGCTCACATGAGCATCTCTCACTGTAGGCCTGGAATCCCTGGGAGCAATTGTGGAGTCCTAAGTATGTGGACCACTGTGGCATCACTGAATGAATCAGGCTGGCTGCGAAAGAGAAAAATGCTCTAAACAAATATCCTGTTAATCAGCAATAAGAAATGAAACAGAAGAGTACTGAAGTGGGTGTGGAAAAAAAAAAAAACTTACCAGTTGCTCTAATGCAGCTAGAATATACCTTCCTGGCTCAAAACCCCCACGAATGCACATACACCCCCCTATTGACATCTGAAATCCTTGCAGTTTGATTTAAAGAGCCTCTGGAAAATTACAGGAAACCCTCCCCATTGTGGCGTACCTCTCTATGTATATGGCTCTTTGGTACAGAAAGAAATTGGGACACACTGGCACAGATGCCTTTTTCTTTGTTGTAAAGATGTCGGGATTACTGGCTGAGCTCAGAGCTGGCAGAAGCCGCCAGCCAAACCAACTGAGCCCCGCTGAGCACAAAGTATTTCTTTTGTGGATTACTTAGTATCAACTAAACCAGAGGAGAGGATGGACAATAGATCTGTCACAGGCAGCCACTCAGAGGGGAGAAGAAAGGCAGAGAACAATCTTTTTGTTTCCATGAGACAATTATTAGTTTTCTGTGTCAGAATAACAAAGAAAACCCCATCAGATTGTCATCTGTAAATTCTGGCAGAGAAAGAAAGACAAAAGGGAGATGAATGGAGCTCTTCAGCACACTGAATAATTGTGCTGGTGCCCAAAGGAACTGCTAAGGGCCAGGAGCCAAATACCATCCCTCAAAAACCAAATGAACAAACCACTAACAAGAGCTCCTGAAAGCCTGTCACAGGCCTCATAAGGGCATACTCCACTCCTCATATTTTCACTTCACACCTGCACCCCACAAAGTAGGATCACAGTATTGCTCATTGCTCCTTCCCCCCTCCCCCCCCCCAGTCTCCAGTGGACAAAGGAAGGGGATAGGCCATTCAGGTCAGTGATAATTTGCAAAACTGAAGGAATGGCTACGGCACAGTGGAAGTGTTGCTCTTTGTAAAATGACAATGGCCCTTTGCTTTCAGTCACTACACTCAGCACTGCAGATGGGCTGCTTAGTGAACCACTGTCATGGCCTAGAGACCATAAAGGAGAGTTGAGAGAGAGCTGGTGAGAATTAGGGAAAATCTATCTTTAAAACACTGCAGCTGCCCTGAAGCAGGCGAGCTGCTGTAGTGCTTTTATGAAGACACGACTCTCCCATCTAATCCACCTCCCTGAGATGAAGTAGCTATGTTGACGGGGAAAATTCTCCTGCCAAAAAAGCACAGTCTACTAAGAGGGTTTGGTCAGTATTACTACATCACTCAGGGGTGCTGTGAATTTTTCACATTGCTGAGCGATGTAGGTACTCCAATATAGGCCTGTAGTGTAGCCCAGACCTGAGATTATTAGGCTGGTCAAAAAATGTCAAGTGATGGGGAGGTTTTTTTTAAATAAAAAAAAAAAATTGAGGTGAGAAAATTTTTTTTTAAACTGCTAGAAATGTTGCTATACGCAACAAACCAATGTTTTGCTTTGAATCAAGTGGAATCACAGTTACTTATTTTTTGGTTTTAGATAGCCCACCTTGCTTTCTCTCCCAATTTTATTCCCATTCCCCACCCTGAGCAGTCCCCTTTGGAAATGTTTTGGCATGCTGAGATGAAAGGTACCATACAATTACGATGTAGCACCTATTGAAACACACAGAAATCAACACATTCTCTGGGTGGGACAGAATGAAAGGAAGGTCTCCTTGGTAAGACAGACCATCTATCCCAACTAGCGAGAGCAGGACGGTCAGGGGCTAGGGAGTCACTGGTACAGCTCTCCAGGGGGAAAGAGATGTAGCTCTCTGCTCACATGCACAAGACATTCTGCGCCCAGTGCTGACCCAGGACACACAGAACGCTTACCACTCTCAGCAGGTTCCGTCGCTCTTTGAAGGTGGCGCAGCACCCGAGGACGCCAGTAACCATGACGACGATCCCCGCCACTATCAGGATGTAGGTGGTTGCCATGTACGTGTTGGAGGACAGGAGACTGATGTAGTCGCTCTTCTCAGCCAGGGTCCAGATGCCCACTGCCATCACGGCCCCGCCTGCCAGCTTAATAAAGAGGCAAGCAGGTGAGAGGCATGAGAGGTGGACATGTCCTCTCTCCTCAAGAGAGAGACATCCACCCCCTGCTCAGCTATAGGGATCAGATTTAAGCCTGATCCAAGACCTATTCAAGTCAAGGGAAGGACTCCCATGGATTTCAATGGGTTTTGGATCAGGCCTTAAATGAAATTGATTCTTCCTCTCCCCTGGTCTCTCAGGGCCCCACGGTGGTTCAAGGGGGAGAAGGCACAATATTTCAGCTGGAAGGGGATGCCAGCTGGCTGAGGTGGAGAACTTTGTAACTGGAGTTCTATGTCTCCAGGTTTAATCAGGCTCTTGGCTCTCAACTGCAGAAGTGCCACCTAGAAGCAGAGGGTGGAGGAGAGGGTGAGGCTGCTTTGCACCCTTGCTGGCTGACCAGGAGTGACACTGATCACTTCTAAACAATATCTATGTCTAGTACCAGAACAGAACCACGGGAGGGGACAGCACTGCAAAAAGTGAGACGCCTGGCTAGTTAAACACCAATGAGAATGAATATTAGCACAGGAATAACCCCAAAGTGGAGGCACGTCACATGAGCCAACGTCTCTCCTTCAGGCTGCTCTTCCTCTTTATGGACCTCATGTTCACTAGAGAATTTTACCTGGTTGCTAATTCACAGAGGCAGCCCACAATTCATTCCGTTGTAAAAGCTAGCCTGCGAGAAAAACTCTAGTGCAGACATAGCCACAGTGATTAGCCCCATAATCCCAGCCTGCCCATCTTCACTGCGCTGCCAACCTGTGCTATGCTGCCGGGCAGAATGAGAGAGGAATGAATGAATGCTATCCTTTGTCTATGGTCATCTTCCACTGAAGTGGGCAAAACAGCTCTTTTGCAGGCAACCCACTGCTGATGATACTTGATCATTTTAGGCCCTATTCCTAGTCAGGGAGGTTATCATCCTTCCCCTAGTGTTGGCAGAATGGGTCTAGACACACACCTCGGGTGAAATCCTGGACCTACTGAAGCCAATGGGTGTTTTCGCCATTGTTTTCAGTGGGAGCAGGATTTCCCCTATACCATCCATCCCACCATCCAGGTCACAGAGACAACAGCTCTAGCCCTCGACAATGGAGGTGGGGAGGCACACAAGTGGAGTGCGGGAGCTGGCTCATTACCCAGAAGAAGAAGTTAAAGATGAAGAGCAGGTATTTGAGGCAGATCGTGCCGCACGTCTCCTTCTTCTCTGTGTACTCACGCATCTTCCCGGCTCAGTGGGCCTCTGAAATGTGACACAATGAAAAAAAAACTGTTAAGTTTCTCCATCTCCCACTAGGGTGGCATCACAGCTCTCCTCTTGAAAACAGCAACCGCTTCTCCAAGCCAGTGCGGAGGTGCCCACCCAAAGAACCCCAGCCAAGTGACTGATGAGGTTCCAAAAAGAGCTGTAAAATGAAGACTCCTGTATCCTGATTGTCATGCTAACCCTCCTAATAGAATCAAAGAGAGGCTGTGTAATCATCGCATCTTACTGTGTTACCTCCATCCACCTTCCCCTCACTCCTCCTCCTGCTTGGTAGGCACACTTCTTTCAGCTCATCTTCAGTCGGATTGTAACGTCCTGGACTAGAGACCATGTCTGTCCACATGTGTTCATAGTGATTAGCACAATGGGACCATAATCCTGACTGGGACATTGTATTGCTACTGTAATAGCAATCCTGATCAACACCACAGTAAGGAAACACTGCAAGAAGAAAATGGACACATTTCCTCCCACTCCACATGCATACACCCCTTTTCATTATTTTTTCCAATCCGAACAAAAGAAATGCAAATCCCAGGTAGTGTTCCCACTAAGATTTTCCATCCATGAGCACAGTAAGTTTTGTCTTGTGCACCAATATTGAGGTCATGTGCGCTTGTTTGGATGTGTGCATGGCACTCACCTGTTACTAACAAATTTTATATATACTATGGAAGAAAGAAAGAATACTAAAACAATAGCTCACAACTCTGAGTAGTCCCAACATCAATGGGACTATTCACAATAATAAGCACTTTGCTAATTAGTGGTAGCGTAATCAAGCTCCAGCGAATAGTATTTGAAAGTCATCAGATATAAAATGGCTAGTCAGTAGCTTATGTGAAAAGGAGTCTGTGGTCTCAGCTGATAACCTAGAGGACAGGTGTCCACATTACATAGTACCTGTGGCACTGCAAGTTATGGGCAGCTGCAACGCAAAATATAAATTGGGATTTTGAATTTTTATACTGTTTGAGGATATATCATAAAAGCCTGGATGGTATTTTTGTTTGTTTTTTGAATTTGAAATTTAGGTCTTGAATACTCAAATTCTGTAGGCAGCTGGTGAACCATTTTTTGTTTTATTTGTAATTCCATTATATTCAAATGTAAGCAGCGGAAGGTGGTGTAAGATTTGGTGTTAGCTAGTGTTTACCTATTTTTTTCGGGAGAGGGAGACAGGGTTAAAAATATATCTAACTCAAATGTCTAATATACAGGACAAGTGATGTGTTTGTTAAATATTAAACACACCCATCATTTCAGTTCAAGTTTCAGCCTTCCGCCTGTATCTGAAACCTCCCAAAGTCTTGTCCTAAAAGCAGGAAAAGCTTATCTAACATTCCAGATTTCTTAACATAAAAAACAGGCACAAGACAGAGAGAGAGAGAAAACAGATTATCCTTTAGATCACCAGAGGAGAAACCTGCATTTCTATTTGCTTTACATGGTAGTTCTACTTAATGCATTAAGATTTACTAAGATATTTAGCGGTCTACAATGTATGAATATTCATGCAGGTTTGACTAAAGTCTGAATGTTCTGTCCAGCATGCACTGAGCTGAGTGTGAAACTGAGGATATATTTATCTATGTGCATCTTTTAAAGTCCTTAAGGTACACTTTCATGACATTACAGATAAAGACAGCAAAAGTGTCTTTACCCTTAAGTAGCACCTAACATACTATTATTAAATGTTATGTTCTTTCAGAAGATTTACAGGATCATTTAAGAAATCAAGCATAACTCTTGACACATTTGCTCAGTCTCAAGGACTCTCACTTTCTTAGGGTACGTCTACACTACAACGTTAATTCGAACTAACTTAGTTCGAATTAGTTAATTCGAACTAAGCTAATTCGAACTAACGGATCTAGACTAAAAAACTAGTTCGAATTAGCGTTTTACTAATTCGAACTAGCACGTCCACACAGAGTGGACCCTGAACCAGGCTTAAGGATGGCCGGAAGCAGTGCCGGCAGGGCATCAGAGGAGGACTTAGAGCGTGGAGATGCTGTCTCAGGCTAGCTGAGGGCTGCGCTTAAAGGGTCCTGACCCCCACCCCGGACAGACAGTTCTCAGGGGTGCCCCGCTTGCAAACCAGTCCTGGCTTGGAGTGCCCGGAGTACCCACACTGGGCGCATCACACCACTCGGACATCAGACCGGCTGCACTTGCCGCAGGCTGCCATCTGGGGAGAGGGGGCAATCGGGGGGCTGCAGGAGAGGTTCCACCCCAAAAGCCCGCAGAGCCAGCCCAGTCCTCCCCATTGGAGGCACGTACCCCATTCCTCCCTCACCTCCTTCCACTTACCCTTCCCTAGCCCCTTTTCTTGATGTACAAAATAAAG